TGGGCGTCTTAAAGTTTAATCAAAGTACTTTCCAAATGGATGTGTTTCAGCTTTTAGAATGTTTCTGGCTCTTTTCTTCATCTGTCTCTTTTCTAGTAGTATTTATTTACTCCTGACAGCATGGGCTGGCTTCCTGATCCAGAATCCAGATTGAATTAGAGCCTGTATGATTGTATATCAAAGTGTAAGAAGATCCGTGTTCGTTTAGAGGCCTGAGAGGAAAGGATCATGGTCTAAGTCTCAGGATAAGCAACGGTCATCCACTAAATAACCTCGCTGTCACTCAAAAAGCACCGGCTCGCTCATTCCTCGTAGCCCCTGGGGCTTGTTACTGTTCCTGGGTTCATCAGTGTGCGTGCTGAAGGCTGGATGACTCTGTCCCCCCCGATGGCTCTCTCACTCTCGTCTCTAAATGAGCACGCTAGACAACACAGACATTTTCTCTAAATACCAGGGATTTGCTGATGAAAGGCAGCGATGAGGAAAATGAAATCTCCAGAACTTCAAATAGCACACATGATCTTTGTTCTGTCTCTGATTCTATGAGAAAGTATGCAGTAGCCAGCTTGTTGCGCTGAACGTAGACTGTATGTCAGAAGTGGAAATAGTTTTGGTTTGTGGACTATGGTTTTGAGACTTGGGGTTCGGCATCTGGGCCGTCACCATCCAGTAGTGACACAAGAGGACGGAGCTAAGTTCAACCAATGCAAAAAAATACATTTTCAGCCAACAGTAATGTTACAATTAACTTCCATGAAGTAAAAAACGACCAAGTTCTAAGACCAAAACTATGACTCTTCTCCGACCTGTCAATCACAAGTTGCCCTGCAGGCTCAGAAGTGCGTCAGTACTCGACCAGCAGTCCTTCAGAGGGATGTGACCTTATGACTTGAGAGTGTTGTGGTAACTGCGTCCATTGCTGTTGCAGGTGGCGTTCTTCAGAGGAAGTGTTGGGCACAGCATCAAGTCTCTGCAAGGATATTAAAAAGAGACGGGGGGAGGCTTGCCTTAGCGGCGTTTGTTTGAAGGAAGAGAAGACGGGAGATGTTAATTCAGGTGTTTTGGCTTGGAGCCATTTTCTTTACTCTTTTTAATTTTTTTTCTTACTTTAAGCGATTGATAACTGCACTTGCAAGGAGTTGTGTTAAAGCTAACTTGTGAAACACGCAAGTGCACACATGGTGTGTGCTTTTGTAAGTGTGTCATTTGAGCATGTTTTCACAGTTAAAGCCTGGCACATGCAAACTCATAAGGAGTCGATTGGCTTCAATCTTTTTTTTCTTCTTTTAACGGAGATTTCCTGAGAAAAATTGAAAAGTATTTCGGCTGTTTTTGAAGTATATTAATAGAGTGTGCTGTGAGTGATACACTCTGGCGTCAGTGCGCACACACACAGTGACATTGCCCCTGTGTGTTTTTTCCTGGATTAATCCGTCAATGAGGCAGTGGGTAACTGACACTTAACTCCATTTGTTATGTTTAAAGATTTTGTTACACTTTGACAGGACATGATGTCATTGGACAAAAGGAACGAGGAGTCTGGACTCTTTGACTCCTCTTTTTCCCCACTGAACCTTCTTCTCAGACATATAAACTGTTTGAGCACACCTGCCATTCTCGATCTTCTGACAGTAGGATTCAATTTGAATCGAAATCCCTCCAATGATCTCAAATCCCCCCTAATGTGTACGAGCTCCAGATGCCCTGTCATAATCCCGAAGGAAAGTCGAACCCTCGTGATAGTTAAAACATGAGTCTCGTACACATGGGGCCCCATGCTGCATGACCTGTTTGTTGTACCTGAGTCATTTCCAGAGGCCGTGTCTTTGTCGCATCGTGCCGCAGTCTCATTCTACATCACGCCCAACAGTTGGGTTGAAATTGTGTAAACGATATTCCACACTGCAATTATGCCTCTGGCTTTCAGATATTATTTGTGCCCTGTTTCTATTTATTTTTAAAACTATTCCACCACATGGTCTTTCCACGGGTCTAACAAACTAAAAAAAATACATTCTCACCACCTTAATCTGTATGCAAATGGATATAATATAGATTTTCTGAGCCCCTGTGAGTGGCTTGTAAATACAGTGACCTGCGCGTGACTTAAAGAGGTTTAGGACAACCTGGCGTACCTTTTGGTTTCCTGTTCTGTCATTCAGGACGTTTGGCATGCTTTCTCTCACTCACAAACACAAACAGATGAATTTGGCATGCCCGGCAGCTCGCAGTAGGGGGACATTGTCCCACAGGCTAACAGCTTCTAGTGCTGTGTTTATTGGATTGTTACAGAGCTGTTAAACACAATTGTGTGGAATACCAAACACAACCCTGCACAACCTCAACTCAACTTTTTAAGTTGTGACATAAAACATATACTCCCACTTTGACCTGTTAGTACAGAGAGCTTCTTTTTGGGGGGGCTGTGTATGCAGCCCTTCACAAACACTGGATTCCTCTGTCCTCCTATCGGGGTTTCCTTTCTTCTCCTTGCGCCTGGACATGGTGAGGGACCTGGACGCCGAGAGCCAGGGCCTGAGCAGGCATGGGAGTGTTTAGGGAGTGTTTAGAGGTGGTTTTGGTAGTGGTCGAGCCTTGATACATATTGGACATTCTGAGCTCAAACCATTCCTCTCTTTTGGATCTGTCAGCGTTGCCCAGCGGTGCCAGCATTCCCTGTCCTTACCCTTTGTTAACCCTGTCGCCTTTGTTTGGGTGCGGTGCACCGGTTAAACCAGGGTGACCTTCTGTTAGCAGTAGTCCACAGAAACAGGGTGGGCTTCTCATAGGGTTCTGAGTTCACATACTTAGAAGGGTGAAACAACCACAGAACCAGGGATAGGGATTTACATTTCTTTGTTCTAGGTACGTTTGGTAATAGTTGTTTGGAATGAAAGCATCACATGCCCAGGGGTTTGCCGGTTCATGGCTTACCCTGTTCACTGTTGTTCTTACCTCCTCTGGTCCCTCAGCTCCTTAGCTCAGGATAAAGAAGCAAATGTTTCTCTATACTAATGGCCCTGGCCATCACTTGGACTTATGCGCCAATGCCGATGTGGATTTTTGATCTGTGTGCTTTTTGTGTGTTATTAGCTAACAGCAAAGAGGGGAGGGGTGCCTGACTAAAGATCAGTTGTGTGAGACCCAAATTAAGCACAGAAGAGACCTTTTTTCCATGTCCCCGTGAGGCCCTCTGGAGCATCTTGAGCCTTTTTGCCTCGGTATAAACACGGTGGCTGTGCCCAGGGAGCGCTCCTCGATTGTTCAGCTTTTTCCTCTGTTGTCATCTGTAAGATCTTATCTGATTATTGTTAGTATTTCACAGCGTGATGTGTGGCGTCTGTGGCGACCACACGCTTGACATCATCTGTGGGTTTTTTGGTTGCCATGGTGAGCAACAGCAAAGCATTAGAAAGTCAAAAGCAAATACCATAAAGGGGTATTCATTTTCAAATTGTATTGTACACACTCATGCTAGTGGTAGGTTATGGAGCGAGGGCCAATTTTTATCTGAAAAGGAGGATCTTCATCCTCTTGTGGCACAACCGAAATTCCTGTGCCTACCTTTCCTAGAAAATTGGCTGAACTTCAGTATTAACTCACCCTTTACGGATAGTTAACAAACTTTAATTCACATCCAATTTGGTCAAAATCAACCAACAATTGCTTATGAAAAAGTTTAATACAAAACAAAATGCCTGGTGAAATAGAGCCTTACATCTGAGTCTTCTCAGACACAGTCCGACCCGTCTCTTTTACCAGGGTCAACTTTCATCTGGCAGCATTTATGTTACAGTTTAATATTTCCCCATAATTATGTCTAAAGGTTTCATATGGTGACAGATTTTGTCAACCATTCGTCACAGAAAAGCAACTAAAATAATGTGGGTCACTTTAGCAGCTTAGTTAACTTAAATGAAGAATTTGAAAAAGCAAATGTTTCAGTGTAAGAGAACTTTCTGTGTTTATGGTTGAACTTTATTGGTTGTAGTAAAATGGCTTATTTATATGAACTGAGATATATTATGAGATATATTAGTCTGCATATACTTTGAAACTTCTCTGCATTAATAATCATTTCTGCAGATAAGAAGAATGGTAATCGGTTATGGCCTCAGGCAGTGCGCTCAGGGTGGGACAGGACTCCCAGTGTTAAGCCAGACGCTTCCTTAACCACACTAAGATGTGCAACACACCAGGCAGTGTCCATGGACTTTCTCCCAGCGTGACGACTTAAATACAATTTTAAAAAAGAATTACGTGTCAGTGTGTAGAAGTGTTACGATTTCAAATCCCTCCTTTGAAGAGTAATCGGGACAGGAAGCAGCGTTATATGAATCAATCTCTTTTTTATCTCTCTCCAATTTATTCATTTTTTAAATACATTTCTGCTGTTTTTTCCCTGCCAGAACTGGCATCCATATTCAAGCCTGTCAGAGGCATTCCATTAGTCTGTGATAATAGAAGAATGTTGCAATTTGTATTTGTGGATTTGAGTAGAGGAAGGATGTCCATTTGTGTGCTTATTGGACGCAGACGCAGACACATGCACAAACTGCTGTCTGCTACATATTCATGCATGACTGCTTGAATATGACATGCTACTGGTTACTGACCTAGTGTCTTGTAAATTTGACTTTTTTATGTCTGGTGAACAGAGTTACGCATGACGCTATGCAGCTGGAATGAGTCTCGAACCCAATAAATAATCCTTCAAATATAATTTCAGTTCAAGACTTGACCGTAAAAAAGAAAATGCTGCTGAAGTTGTAAAAGGAGTTCTTGGTCCCAAATATGCTATATCACATTTGTTTTGAATATGCAGTCTTATATTCTACTTTTATTCCTAGTCCTACTGTCTTAGGTAGGATAGTGATTTAGTAATTGCTCTGTTCCGTATTTTCCAGAGTACACACATACTGTACATAGAGTTCCTAAGTTTCTTCTCCATTGCAATCCACGACTTCTTGTGTCCTTTGGTTTCTCTCTCCCCTCTCCAGTTTGAGCTGCAGTCGTGCTGCATGTTCCTGCCCAATGACAGCCTCCCCTCCCCGAGCACCATCATCTGCGGCGACATTCCCGGCACCGTCCGAAGCTGGTACCACAACCAGGCCTCCATGCCTGCGACCCTGGTGGTGTGCCTGCCGCAAATCAGCGTCCTCAGCGCAGGCCACAAGTACATGGAGCCGCTGCAGGAGCTCCCCTTTGTGGTGTCCAAGCCCGTCCTGGAGGAAGGTACTATATCTGACCACATCGCGTCTTTAATTAGAGTGCTTCAAATGCTGGGGGGAGACCGCACAAGACCCAATGAGGGTCAAAAGAAAAGATTGATTTGACATCAACATTAAAGGAGAAAACAGAATGTGGACCTTTGGAAAACAGTGACGCCGATAGCTTCATTAAACAAACCTATTCATCGTATAGGTTATAAATGGAAATCTTGGAAAATAAATGTAAATGGGTGGGAAAAATCTACTTAACTCTTTTACTCATGCTTTTATTAAAAATGAAAATGAATGCTTTCATAATAGCAATAGGCTCCATTATGTGAATTCATCATCATTATGGCCCTTTCAACACTGAGCCAACCTTTGACCCACCACTACTCATTTACCATGACAAAAGACAAACAAACTTAAGCACAGCGACTTTGAGAGATAGATCTTGCACATGTGGCGTGCACACCTGGGTAGAGTTGACATAAGCAACACTCAGTGTTTTCTCTCACTGTTTTTTTTCTCTCAAACTCGTCAATGACATCAGCATTGGGCAAACAGATATTTCTTTTTGAAATGAGAGAGAAAAAAACAGTGACATCAGCAGCCTTGTCAATGTTGCCATAAAAAGTAACAACCCATTTGCTTTTGGTAATTCATTCCTACCCTTTGAAAAGCTCTTCATCTCTGACTTTTAAAGCTTTCGGTGCATGGGAAATGTGCTCTTCACGCACACAAGTCCTCTACTCTGTGCGATCCTTCAGGGTTGGCAATTGAACAAGCTCAAGCTCTGCTAGTGTGGCATCCTGTCTCAGAGCCACAAGGATAGAATAGACACTCATTCTACAATGTGCTTTCCTGGGATCATCCTTCTGCGTGTTAGGTGTAGAGAGCTCCGTGCTCCTTAGTGAATCTTAATGTTTTCCAAGGAGCCATCTCATCGTATGTGCAGTCATTGGCTTTGAATTCCAAGGTGAGTGAATGGAATTATGGAGATGTAATCATTTATCCTTTGTGTGTATTCATTTGCACTTTTGGCCGTGGTCACACTCGTCCGTCGGTGCAACCTTTGTGACACAACGCTTTAAATGTCAAGTCTGCCCACTCCAAGGTCCGCCCTCTGGGGTTTGATCAGCCTGGTCACATGACTGAGGGGGGCCGGCTCATATTGGGTTGGGATCAGCGAGGTTTGGACAGGTCTCCATTAGGAAAGAGAGCATAGGGAGGGGAGGACGCCAACACCCGTACGACCACACTATTTAGTATGCTAGAAAGAAATGTAGCATGTCAACTGAAGCAATCCTCTGAATATAGTAGCTCCATCATTGGCTGCCAACAAGAGCATCCTGAACAGGTGGTGGAGAAGAGAACACTGAAAAAACTGTTTCCTCTTCACCACCTACTGCAGGGCCAGCAGGAAAACATTCCTGCCAACTGCAATAAGACTTTACAACAAAACACCTGGATACAAATCATTGTTTATTTGAACAACATGAACATGACATTTTTCTAATAATACGTATTCCACTGTACATACTCACTGCTTTACAGCCGCTCCTTTGACCTCGATCATCACCAGGTTAGGACTGTGGCAAAAAACATCAAATGTGGGCATACATATGCAGATTCAATGACCTCCGACCTTCCTCTCCATACTACAATGACTGAGCTCGCTCTCATATGACCACTCTGCTTCCCCTCGCTCGTCTCTCCATCTCCGCCAACGCCTCTGTGGTTGAAAATGTCCATCTTCTTTCGCTTGCTGCTTCACTCGTCCCTCTTTTTCTCCCGCCAGGCGACGCCTTCCCGTGGACGGTGAGCCTGAGTCAGTTCAGCGTGTACACGCTGCTTGGACAGCAGCGGAGCCTGAGCCTGCTGGAGCCCATGGGCTGCACCTCCACGCTGGCCGTCACGTCCCACAAGCTGCCGAGCTGTTCCGAGGGGGGACACTCCTTCGTGGTTTGCCTTCATGTCGACCTGCAGCCCGTCCACGTCAAGTGCTCCAACCCTCAGGTGAGCGAGGCGCTCATCAGATCTGCATACTTACACAAATCATCTCTGTGGTAAACACTCCTGAAAACCTCGCCTGCATAGTTCTCTCTCACGTAGATTGATTCCAATAAACAAACTGCCTCATCCTCTTACTCGGCCTCCATGTCATGAAAATGGAGGCATAAACAAGAAAGTGTCGGCTTGTTTGCTCTGGTCAAATGTTTGGAGGTATGAGAAGAGCGGGACTTCATTGTTTTACAGTGCGCTGTGATGTTTCAGCAAGATGGATATGAACGGATTGGAAACGGTTTGTCTGCCAGTTAGGTCTCCTTGTTGTTTTTCACCGCGACGTTAGCATGTGCCATTACACATGTTTTCTTTTCCCGCAATTGAATCAGCCGAATTGAATTAGGTTCCTCTATAAACACTTAATTGGGCCGACCTTTTGAGTGGTTGCACTGTTAAATGTCTCTGACCGCCGTGATGAGCCATGGTGATATTGAGGGGAATTGGTACCAGACAAACAAATGAAAGGCCTTAATCCGGTGGTGGTGAAAATGTTCCCAGGGATGGGGAGAGCTGGTTGGATTCTTTTCTTTCTCCCTCTGTTATCCCTTTTAAATGGAATGCCAGTGTCTGGCAAAGCTGGCTGGGCTTATTGCGATTATACGATGAGTCATTATTAGTTTTTGGGTCTATGAAAACCGCCTCTTTTTCTTCTATATTCTTTTCTCTATTTTCATCTCCTCTCTATTCTTTTCTCATTCTTCTCTCCTCATTCTCCTCTCCTCTCTCCTTTCCCTCCTATCTTATCAGACTTCACTTTTACTGACTGGAGGGATTTCCTAATGTCATATTGTATCATTTGAAGTCATGCAACAGCTCCTTCAGAACTAATTTGAGGAGCCCTGGCCATTCCAGAAGAAAAGTGACCCCACACTTACTCTTCTTTCTAATTAGCTTTTCCATTTGTGTTTTTTTTAGTTGAGATGATGGTGAGATGAGAGCACTGTGAGCGCTGTGTGGGTGGTAGAGACATGAATTAAACATGAAGATGTTTAAAGACAACTAAAAAAAAAAAAAAAGCCTGTGCCTCACTCCCACGATATGTGACACCAAATCACATTTTCCATAATATGCAGTGGATTAAATTATGCCACAAACCATATTTTTAGAAATGGGGGTAAGAATTTCAAGCCTTCAGCGTTTCTTTTTTCTTTTCTTTTTTTCTTAGCTTTGTCAAAGTGACTGTACACATGAAGAAGAACATTTCTGAATGGATTTTCCAAAAATTATAGAGGTGCAACAGCAGCGACGACATTTTAAGAAGTGAGGTCTTTTTGAAGGGTTGAGGAAAGCAGAGAAGAAGAGAAGAGAAGAAGAGAGCGAGAGAAAAAAAGCAGCCCTTACATAATGTGTGCATGAAGATGAAGCAGCAAACAGGATAATTAGCTCTGAGCTGTCTTATTGTCATATTGTTTTTCATGCACTACTTAATTTAACCTGTTTCCTTTCAGACTAGTTGAAAGCACTAGCATTTGCATATTTAAAGATAACATTTCAGAAATGTTTAGTTTCCTGTCACCTAGATCCAGAAACCTTCTCCTCAGTAGCTCGTATACAAACCACCCATACAAATCCTCTCTTTATTCTGAAGGTTTTTACAGAGGCTTTTGTTCCACAGCTGGATTCCTACATTTCCTACTAAAAACATGGTTTCTATGGAATAAAATTTCTGTAAATGTATGCAAATAAGTACATCTTTAATAAGATCATACCTCATTTCTATATTTAAACATACAATTTACAAAACTTTGAATGCAAAATACACATTGTCAGTAATGAACTGGGAAGGTTTCACCTTCAGTGCCTCCCATGCACATGATGGTGGACTTCAGCGCTGTGCTCGCTGTATATAGTGTCAGGGTGAATGATTCATGAGGCTGTCACAAGGATGAGGCTGGTAGCTGCACTTCCACCCTATCAGGACCACCGTGAAACACACACACACACCGCCCGCCTTTTTCTTTGACCTTTGACACGTGACCGCACAGTATTTCAGTGAACACACACAGATTACCAACTTACCCTCTCAGCTACCACATGTACTCAACAGCGTTTTACTCACTGAGAAGCCTCTCTATAAACGCACTGCTCAGATAAAGGAACCGTCTTCCACTGTGTGTTGTTTTTATGAATGACTGCTGAAGCCTCTGTTTGCACTGCTACACAAGAACAACAATCCACAGAGGATGGAGATGTGGGTGTGTTTGTATGAGGGGGGCTAAGCTTTAAAGCAGTGGCTGATATGAACCCTCTGACCTTAGTTTGTACTAATCAGGGATATCATGAGCAAGCGGTAGGTGTAGGATGGATCAAATGGCAGAGGGAAGATACGATATGAATGATAGTAAGTACAGACATATTATGAGCAGAGGCATGGAAGAAATTATTTGACGGATGTGATGTACCAAAAATCTCACAGTGACAGCATTAACGGCGGGCCACAAACAGTGATGGAGACTCTTTTTCTCAGTGCTCCCCCCTTCCGTATCGGCACATCTGCTGCTGAGTGCAGTAGGCCCCGTTGTGCTCCTTCGGACTTCCAGGATTCTCAGGGACGAGAGCGTGGACAGCGGTGCAGTCTGGGTCGGATATGGCAGACAGCTGCTGCCTCCCGCACCCTGGACGGCCGCCGGATCGGCGTGAGCGACTTCTCCTGGACATGTTTGAAAACGGCCCAGCTGTAATGTATTGTGCTGGTTTTCATTTTGATTTATGCTTATTTATGGTGGGCCTCCCTGTAATGTGCGTGCCAACAGGCGTGCACGGGCAGAAATGTGTTTGGAGTAGAGAAAGGAGCTATTCTGTGTGCGCGATAATTTGTCCGTGCACCTTTTTCACTTTTGAGGCCTTAGTTGGCCCTACAAGCAAAGCATTCGAAATCCAGAAATTAGCTCACTGTGTAAGAGCGCGCGCCTTTTCTTCCCCCCTCTCCCTCCTTCTCGTCTCCTCCAAGGAACACGAAGTGAACGCGTGGATAACCGAAAGCATCACATTCCCCTTCCTTCCCCTCATGTTTTCCACTCTTGTTTTTGGCTTTGTTGTTGTTTAAAGCCCAGGCCCTCTTTTCATGTGAACACATGATAAATAGCTAAAAACACTTGACGCCGAGCCTTTGGTTTTTCCTATCCGTGGTGAGTTTTTTGAGGGGGGGCGGAGGAATTGATGACACAACTCAACTTTCCTCTGTGGGTGTTTCTTTGATAGTTTTTGTTGTTATGGATAACAAATTTTCAATGTGAAGCACGTACGTGAGCACGGTGTGGCTTGCAAGTGATCACACGTGATTGAAGTGAGGACGGAAAGAGTGTCTAAAGACATGGGATGGATGTGGTGGTCTGTATCTGGCTGATATTTCTTCTTTTGCCCTCAACTTGAACTATGTCCTGTGTCCCAGGACTACAAAGCTGAAGCAGGCCTCAGTGAGAAGTACATGACACCTTGAATTTTGAATTCAAATATTAAGACTTGTTGTGGGGCCTTCTATCTTTTAAGGCTCTCCCTTGGCCCAGCAGACTTCATATATTGAAAGTTTTTACAGCTGCGTGTGTGTGGGGGGGGGGGGGGGGGAAGAGCTCAAAAGAAAGGAATCAGCCGTCAACGTTTTTGTGCATCAGATTAAAACTGCTCCCAGCCTGTGTAAAAGATGACAACTTCTGCCTCTCCAGGTCCAGCTGCTTTACGAGCTCCTGCTCAGCTGGAGCTCCACATGGGCTCGTCTCCAGAGGCACGGCATCCTGCGTCAGACCTCCAGCATGCCAGAACCCCCCGCCGGTGCCGCCCTGACGTCCCCGGTGCGCAGCAGTGCCGGCACTGCGCTGCCAGACACCAGCACCTGCAGCCCGTCTGCAGACTTTGGCTCCCCCACAGAGGTTTGTTTAGGTCCACCGGCGGATATAGGTTGTGCTTTATGGGGCGCAGTTTGTAAAATGTTCCGAGACAATCCGCGCCCCTCCCCCCGCATGACATCAAAGTGGACAGTATGTGGCCCCCTACCTAAAATGAGTTTGACACCCCTGCTAATAAAGAGCTAATTCATTCGGACTTGCCACCTTGTCTTGCTGCAGCGTGGATTACCGTAAATATTGTAATGTTCAGTCGTCAAGTCTGATATGTAGAGTGAACGTTTAGATTTACATTTAACATTTAGATATAACATTTACATTTAACATTTATATTATTTAACAACTCTGTGTTACTGCCAAACTTATCCTTGGAAAAGTTATTTCATGAATTTCTGTCTAAACTTTTGAAAATGTGACATGAATATTGTCATGCTCTTTTTTCATATTGATAATGCTAAATGTACCAAAACTGCGCAGGATTTTAGAACGTGCAACATTTTACAAACAGCGCCCCATAGTGCTTACCTACACATGAACAAGTCTCTTGTCTCCGAAAGAAAGCTGAGACTATTACTCATTTCACTCATTTTTTCTTATTTCATAGATATACCGTACACACATTTATTAACACATTTATTTAATACATAATGCTGCTCCCTCTACCATATTTCGCACTACAACTACTGAACTTCTATTGTCAATAATTTTTTCCCCCTTTGAATCAAAGGTGCTTTGAGTTGTCCATTAACACACCTTTGTTGTGTACATACTTCCCCACCTTATTTTCATTGTAAATATTCATTTTTCACATGGCCAGAGGTACTATGTTTGTGAGTAAACTTTCTGTCCTATCAGCATATCTCCTGAACACCTCGAGTGAATCTCACATATTCTCCACTCGCATTCACCAAATTGCATTGCAAGTGGAAATTTTTGTTGCACAAATGTCAAAGAGATCCAACATCGCTGCAATGTTATTGCCTCGTGAATGCTTGCTCTGAGTTGATTCAGCGCTAATGCATGCGATGTGTCTGAAAATAAATCAGTTTTGTTTGTGGAGGATTTCCAAAGCTGGAAAAGTTATCAGTGCTTTTTTTTTTGTTTTCTTACCCAGAAGACATTGAGATACTTCAGGCTGTGAGCTCGGTTTGATTCACCTAAGCAGGGGGCTTGATGAGTATAAACCGAGCCTCTTCATTTAGGGAAAACAATAACCTGTATTTACATGTTTCGCTCAGATGAAATGCCAAACCTGCCAGTCAAGTACGTCTTAGCACACAGGGTGCTGCACGAAGCGTGTTGAGTGTTTCCTTTTCCTCCCTTGCTTATGCTTATCCTTGGCTTTGACGATGTGGCAGGACCTTTTCTGCTGTCTCTTACAGAAGCAGCAGCCGTGACTAGCAGGGGGCCCGGGGCCTTGGGGGCTTCAGCCACAGGGCCTTGCGTAATACCGATGTGTACATTTGTATTAAGTAGTAAAAATGACGATGTGGAGTGTTTGTGTAGTTAAGTACCTAGCCCAGGGATTTAATGCCCTGCGACCACCACGGGCCTCACATTGCTGACAGGCCCTGGTGGTCAAGGAGCCAGTAACGTGTGGGTTAGAGCACACAAAAGCAGGGGGAAAACATAGTGCTTCATATCTATGTGTGCAATTCTTCCTGCTGGTGTTAGGTCACAAGGGGCAGTGGTTCTGTTCGACAGGGGGGGTAAGTATAGCGCGTCTATAACAAGGCCACGAGGGCCCCCGACAGCCCACTTGTCACTGTTTACCTAAGTACAAACACTGGTAGAAGTGTTTAGTCCTCTGGGAGGCTGGGTGATTGAGCAAGAATGTAGGAGCTGTTTTGATAAGTCTCAGAATTAGTGGCAGCAGCAACCCTCCTGCCCCCCACATGTATGTATATATGATACACCATATATAGTCCACTGGTTGCAGCTTTATCTGCCTCTCGTTCCCTTTTGTCCACTTTCCTCCATCCTCCCACCTGTCCCTAAACAATTCTTCTTGTCTCCCATGACCCCCCCCCACACCCCTCTTCCCTCCGCCCGTCTTTCTCCCACACCTCCCAGCTTGCTGTTGTCTTCCAATGTTTGGGTCTCTCTGATGAGCAAAGACAAACTCTGCAACGAAAATAAACCGCGGGATCCTCGGCCCGTTTATGCCACAGGGGCCCAGGAATGAAAGTGTATACTTTACAGCTCGGCTTGTGGAGGTGTGGGAGAACACACACACACGAGAGAGAGAGAATGTGTGTTTGGGAACGCCCACCTCTACTAACTCAACGCCGCCACATGTGTTCAAGGCCTCACCTTCCTAGGAGGGGGAGGAGGGAATTCACTCAGAACAACATACACTTTGGCTTTTGGGAAGTTTTGATGTTTTCTTTTTCTTGTAATGTTATTTCCTAATTTGAGTTTTAAAGTATTCATTAAATTCTCTTTAAATTCTTACTTTATATTTTTCTACAAATGCAGGCATATTTTAATATATTTTTAGTTTTTCCTCAATCGAAGCAGGCCAGAATTGACAGTTTACCATTTAATTAAACGTTTTCCAAAATGAACATTCTACTCAGTAGGGGTCAATCAGGCAGAACAACACATTAATAGCTGTTATTGATGTGTTGTTCTCCCTGACCCTGCCAAGGAAAAGGGCTGTTGCGGGAGAGGCGACAGCGGTTCTGGCTGGCGAGCAGCAGCCGGGGGTTCGATGCTCCAGAGTAACCACGCTACACTACACAGTGGTCTGAGCTTCCCACAGCGCCAGCGGCTGGCTCCTGTTTCCACACATGACATTACAGAGTCTAATCCTACCGACCGGCCAGAACTGTAAACCAAACAATCCAAACCACACACACACACACGCACACACTCACACACAGGCCCGTGTTTTGACTCTAGCTCAACAATAATCAGTCCCCAAATGGCAGTCAACATAAGAATATCTCTCATTGAGACTGACTGAACGCCATTACTACTTAGCTCATATTACTCCGTGCCAGTCACCGTTATTTACACATCGTCACTCCCTCACACACACACACACATACGTACTCTCGCACACCTTGACTCTTTGGTTCCATTGAAACACATAATGACACTGCTTGACACAACATGAGTAATAGCTAGTTCTTGGGGAATTATGCGATTAGGTTTTTCTTGGTATTATTTCCCATATGGACGGTATTTAATTTCATCATCATAAGGGTTTTGAAGCTTAACACCATGTGTATATATATCTGATCTAGTGTAGGACTGTACTTCCCACGCCTGCAGAGCTTTCCCTGTCCCCGGGCCTCACCAAGTTCCTGCCGGTGTTTCTGGTGCATTTCTGTTCATTTGTTTTACAGCTGATAGATTTGAAATCTTCAATTCTTAGATAGATAATGCTTCCCACGGACCATTTGCTCCTCACAGTTTCATTAAAACTCCTTTTCATTCAGTTTAATGCTTTATTTATTGATATCATTGTTGTCTAGTTATTTAGCTCCACTGTTAGCCACCACTAAACTGCACACTGAAATTAGATTTGCAATTCAGAATGGGGCCCTCACCCCCCGCCACCACCTAACCCCTCCCATGTGCTCAACAGGGAAGTATTCTCCTCATCTGGAGTCTCTTTAAGGCTCACCAGCTGTGGTGTTTCTAATTGAGAAGGTTGATAATCTCCTCATCGACCACAGCCAGCCTCAACAAGCATGATACCATCTGTCATTAGCATGCCACGATGGGTGAGGGAGAGGAGGGGGGGGGGGCCTGAAACTGCCAGACTGCAGACTGACATATTGTTTGTTTGTAGCCTTTTCACTCTCCTAATGAGATGCGGATCGCACTAAAAAGAACTGTCGCCTGTGCTGTCGTCCTCAGTGCGCTGCCGAACCCCCCCGTAATGACACGAGAACTCAAGGAAGGCCGCCCCCTCTGCTGCATCCCGCCGGCCTCTCCCACTCTCTCTCAATTCCAACTCTCTCCTCAGCGTCGTGGCGCCCTAGAGTGAAAGCAGGCCACGTGGGGGCTGGTGGCTCAGTTTAGGGGTTATCAGTGACTGCTCCACACAATGGCCCTGTCAATATAGCATATAGCATGTGTTCTGGTATTACAATTAGTAATTTATGGAATAGCAAATGTTGCTTTTAAACAAACAAAAGATGATACTTCATTATATTAGGGCCAAGTTTGGCCTCAGACCACGTCTTGTCACCAGCCCTTAGATTTGATTAGCAGATACTGTTTTGGCTCCCTAGGGCGACTCTGTGCCGGCTTTGGATGATGCCCCGTTTGCTGACACGGTCACTCTGGAGCAGAAAACCAGCAGCATCGGAGGCTCCAGTGGGAAGGTCAGCCTTTGGATGCAGTGGATGTTACCCAAGGTCACAGTCAAACTGTTTGCTCCCGACTCGGCTGTCAAGAAAACAGGTACAGCAGTGTACTTCTTCTTACTCCAATGAATCTCAGTAGTGTTGCGTGTTGTTAATACACAGCTGTTCTAAACCAGGTGGCAACCTGTGGTTCTGAAAAGTAAAGCCAATGCTGGTATTCCTTGAACATGCATTCTCTCTAATGGCCATGAGGGGTGGATTTGGCTAGTTTCAAAATTAAGTCTGATTTGAAAATAACAATATTATTATTATTATTATTAAATACAATTCGAGAACTGATTAATCTGTTCAATAGGAAACTTTTTATTGCAAAATGTTTCAGTGTGAACGAGTGCAAAAAGCTGCTCAGAGTTCTCACAGTCCTGCTGCAGCGACACATAATGCCACCGACTCTGCCTCTTTTCCAGTTCATGTGTCGTGCACTCGGAAAGGAAAAGGAGCTGGGGGAGAAAGAGGAATTGAAAGGGAAAAGACAAATAAATAAATGGATGATGAATCCCAAGCAAGCTGCCGCGTGTCCCCTTTAGATTTACTGTGGTGATGAAAGGCTAGATTTACCTTCAATTGGTGGCTGTAATATTTAGCATCTGCCAAGCAGATCGGCCGGCTTAAGGTCTGGTGGAAACGGAATGTTTCGGAGGACCTCACAGAGGTGGTATGACTTAAATACATCCTAAATAGGCATCACTTCCGGATATGCGCTTAATGTGCGCCATCTGAGCTGCGAGATGGACTTCTTGCTTGATCCTAAGTGCGCAACACATGTTATTAAAAACAAGAGATGTGTGCAGGCGATGCATTGGATGGCTAATATCACTAGAACATTCTTGAAGATAAGCAAACCCCAGATATGGCTGGAGACAATCAGCTATGATGTAATGTGTTTTTGAACTGCAAAAGGAAATAAGATTTTAGTTTCAACAGAGGAATGGAAAAAACGGCCACTCCAGGGCGCATCGATTCTGGGCTCTAATGTTATGCTATTATGTGTTGGAAGATTAGAGGTAGAAATTCCAGCGTGATTCTCCAGAGACGCTGCTAAAGACACAAATCAGGGTTCTTCTTTCAAGATGAACCATCCAAGACTTAGGGTTTCCAGCGCTCTTACAAGCTGGGTGTTTTAAAAACACAGCGTTCGTAGACTGAGTTTATGAGTCTCACAGCGCAAAAGAGTTCTGTCCACACTAGTTCTCCACAATAAAAGTGACATGCTCTGTGTTTCAATTTTAAGAAGGCGTTAGGAACCTCAGTGTTTTTTCAAAGACCCACCGCAAGGCCCCAGTTTGCAAAAAACATAGTTTCACATGCATAAGGTCCATTTGCCCCGAGCAAGCCAATGGGATTGGGGGACTTTCCCTTGTGGAAACAATGAGAGGGACGCAGCAACAGTTAAGCTGGATGCTCTGCCCGGACAAAGTAAATCAGTCCGCCTGTGAGCATTGCTTGTGCCACCAAAAACGGGAGGATCAGTTTGAACATAAGGTGCTCTAGGGCACGCCGTGCATTTTCTTACACAACACACACACAGTGAACAGCTGGATCAGGACCAACAACCTGTACAGGGTTAGATACAGTACAGCTTTTGGAGTGGAGCTGCAACTGATGGCCATACGGCAACATTGAAGGAATTTATTTCCACTGTAATTCACTTCATGTTTTTTTCTATATGTTTCTGTCAGAGATATGTGTCGTCGCCGAACTAGAAGACCTGAGTGCCTCAGTGGATGTCCAGGATGTTTATACAAAGATCAAATGTAAAGTTGGCAGCTTCAACATCGACCAGTACAGATACAGGTAGGGTACGTTGCATGTATGTATGTAAATGTCTAAAGGCATCATGGTCAGGTGGGAACCTCTGGGTCTGTAAAGTGAAGCCAATGCAGAAGCTTCTTAAAACTGGCGATTGCTCTAATGTCCACCAGGGGACGACTCCTCTGGTTGTATAGAAGTCTATAAGACATTATAGACATTAGTTTATGGTCTCAGTCTCTGGTTCCAAGGTGTCTTCAACACAGAATGATGTTTATTTAAAAAATGATGGTCCATTTAGAGTAGAACAGACCAAAAAAAATTTGGGGCACGGCCAAATTGCCAAACTGGATGGTCCACCCTGCTGCGCCGACTCACTTCTGCTCACGATCCCAGAGACACACACCGCACCACCAGTACCAGAAAAAACTTTATCTGTTCCCACTTCTTCAGGATTATTACTTCTGCGTTGTTGTTTTTTCGGACAGTTGTTGCACAGAGACTAACAGGCAGATGAAACTCAGTAGTGAAACGCTTTGAAAGGGCTCTGGGAGAACCCGACTCTGCCTCAGTCTGCATGTCAGTCATCCCGTTTGAGCTGGGGTGTCTCAATCGATTCACAGAAACATCAACATGTTGTAGGTAGAGAAAACCAGCAGACCATGTTCCACTGCATCTTCAGAGTAATCTCTCCCCATCTCAAGTTCCAATGGGACAATACAGCTCTGGAATTATGAAAGAACATATTGCAGCATGCGGGAAGTTCAGCTTCAGAAACTTCGTTGCCACACCCTACATACAGGTCATTCCAATTAATTAAAGGCTGGCCTCGGGTCAATATCAAAACAATTATTTTTTCCTTCCATCGATCACATACCGATGTGATGGAGTCAGTGGCTCCGAGCGGGTACGTGCCTGAGGCCTTGTTCTGTTTGGACGGGACCACTTTAGCGCTCTCTGAGGAGATAATGAATCAGCGCTGTCATACGCTGCGGCATGATGCGTGTGTTTATCGGCTGTGTGTGCGCCTATGTGCTGGAATAGACGTGTTTCGTGTTTCTCTCGAACCTGCCGGGCTGCGAAGGGGAGCTGGGCCTTCAAGGGCCCATACTAACCCCCGTCATTAGCAAACCATGCTCTCGCCGCTGAAACGGTAATAGGTGCTGATTCTTACTGCCAGATTTTAAAATCAGCTCGTCTTGAAATGACTTTTTGTAGACCTCCCTGTCTCGCTGCAGTCGGTGGGTTTGTGAGCCAGAACACCGTCAGTGGGGAGACAGGTTAAGAGGATAGAGGTGTCGCGGGGTGTGTTGCTTCTGAGACAGAGCCAAACCGTAATCTCTTTAGTAGACCTCTATGACTCCCTAAGTAGATAATGGGTCAATTGACTTATTTCTAGGTTATTTCAGTTTAATGTGCTTTTAACAACGTGGTCTCAACGCACTTTTTAAACCGAGCAAAGTTCTGGCGGGCAGAGGTACTCCATCATCCAAGCCAGGTTCTCCTTCTGGCTTTTAAGGGATCCTGGCCCACTCTAATCTGTATCGTCCACATATACAAGAGAGCCCACTGGGGTCGGGTCCATATTAATCATTCTGAGCAGATAATTGTTAGGTATGTCATCACCCAGCCCAGGTTGTTTGTGTTCACTGGGTCTGATTAAATTGGGCCTGACAGAGGAAAAACGTCTCATGTGGCAGACCATATGAGACGTCTCACTGCTGGAGGAGGAGTTGAATAATATATAAGGCAGGGAAATATACATAATTGTCACTCTGATTGTATCAAAATAGGAGATGGACCCAATAGATAAACAGGTGGGTGCTCATGGAAGTGCATAGGGGTGTGAGCGCACTACTAATGTATGAGGAAAAACAACTTCCCTTCCATTGGAAAGATTAGAAATTAGGAAGCTTCTTTTCCTCCATGTTTGAGACAGGTCCTTCTTAACAACGTTGCTCCAACCCCCAAAGAAAGAGAGCAAGGACGGCTAGTGACAGTTTACCCTCGGCTCCAAAAAGCAGCTCATACCGATTGGGGCTGATGTCTTCCAGCTGTTCCCCAAACGGCTCCCAGCATTGGATGGCTGGATTGGCACGGGTGAGGGAGGGGCCCCAACTACGAGAGAAACGAAGAGCTCTTGGGGGGTCCATGTGTATTAGACACTCTTACAGCTGATTATCGCTGAGCGATTACTAAAGAGATACTCACACAGGCACCCACAGAAAGGTGCCCAATGAGCTCTAAGTATCTTGCGAGTTGGGGAGGGGAGTGTCAAAGATATGATGCAGATGCCGTAAAACCGTTCCTGTTGTGTCAAACATTTTGCCATACATGTGTTGCCCATGATTTGGCATGCTTCAGTCATTTTATAACTCTGTGTTGTGTTTTATAGTGTAGTGTTTGTGACGTGAGGATTGTTGTGTTTGTCTTACTGTTAACTCCTTTTTGATGTACGCTTCACAGGTGCTTTCTGCCTCTCAAGGACGGGGATTGCGGGAGGAAAACAAGGAAATTGATTTTCACAACAATAATCAGCAATGTTCATACAAGTTTTAAGAGTTAATACACGTTTAGCATTTTAAATAATGCCTCAAAAATGTAGTGGTGTCAGTTCTTCATACACAACTAACCTGCTTGCAGTTTCAAGGTGTGTGTGTGTGATGAAAATGTTGTGTGATTTGTAAATGTAGTTTAGGCATTAGGGGAAGTCATCAGTCCCCTGCCACAGCAGTATGAGTTCTCAGATGCCCAGGTTAAGTGTGGGCTTGTGTGTCTCTCCAGGCCAGGGCAGGTCTTACACTCCGACCACTATGAAGGACTCATTCTGCAGTGCAAGGAGACAGCCGTGGTGAGGCTCCTGCCTGTCCCAAACCAGGCATAGCAGCCATCCTCGGGCCTGTGTACACTGTGCCTCTGCCATTCTGCTGCTCCTAATTATGAACATTCCTCTCTGCTCATGCTGGACCGACAGGACAGTAACAGAAAAGCATTTTTTTGGGCTATAACGCAATGGATTCACCATTAAAACGTCTAAGAAGACTAACTATTCCCCTGTCTCTCCAGTGGCTCCAATTGGCTACATAATCAAACCAATGAAATCTGGTGACAACTGATCTTTTGTGCGTCTGTTTGGGAGGAGACTAGGACAGTATCCATTCTATTGGTGATGAACTTATTCTGGTGATGGTCTTATACGGGTACCTAACACACACTAATGTGTTCAACATATTCTGACGACAATGTGCCAAATAGCGGCGCTTGGTCGGTGCTCCTACGGGTCACAATACGCCCGTTACATGCACAGTGTCCACTAAAAATAAACTTCTTCACAGGAAGTTAGGTTTAAGTGACAAAAGCGCCAAGGACTCTTGACACTAACAACTTACATAACTAAGAACAATACGTGAGCAGCTCACAACACTATCGACTAACGTGGCGAACAAGTGACAAACGGGTCAAGTGGATTGCTGCGAGTTACGTGACTAACGTCACTAACGACTAAGATGGCTGATTATACTACCTATTCTATTGACCAACAACTGGATGAACAACTCTAATAACTAGCACATCGCTTGACTAACGATAGTTCAGCTCATTGATAGTACATCTCTAGATACTGTTGCCCAGGCAACAACCAGCTGTGTCCTCTCCACTCTGTGTGTGTGTGTGTGTGTGTGTGTGTGTGTGTGTGTGTGTGTGTGTGTGTGTGTGTGTGTGTGTGTGTGTGTGTGTGTGAGAGAGGACCATCCATCAGCACTGACTCAGTGGATCAGCCTTGCTTGCTGAGTTTAATCCCAGGCACGGTGCCTACAGAGGCTACAGGTGGCATCGCAGAGGAGCGCTGACCAAACTGCTATATTTGGCACAATGTTTGAGTACAACAGGGTTATTCAAGCGACTGAATGAAGCTTTAGATAATGTAAGCTACATTATATGATTACATTTATCAACAGCTGTAACCCTGGGGCCTACTTTCTCCCGTTCAAAATACGGCTCGTCCCAGAATTGCTTTAATGCTGTTGTTATTACTGAATCTTATAAGACCATTCCCACAATACGTCAACTGATTCAAGCTGGTGCAACTCCTTTTGGTTTTAATCAGTTCTGTATTTCATTTTTCCCCAATTAATCTGGAGGTTAAATTCTTTCCTTTCTATTCTTCTCTATCTGTATTTATCTGATTATCTTCTTTGCCCCCTTCCTTGTGACTCCCTGCCTTCTCTGTCCCTTCCGGCCCCCACCTCCTCTCCCCTTCCTTCTCTTCACCTCCAGTCCGGAGGAGGGTGCGCAGGGCTCGGGCGGCTGTGGAGGAGTGGTCCTCTCTTGCACTGACAAGCTGAACAGACGCACTGTGTTGGTTCGACCCGTCAGCAAGCAAGAATCTTTCAGCCACTTCTCTGGCTTTTTCCCCCCTGTAAGAATCCAGCTCTTCTCCTTTTTAGCAGAGTCTGCTCAACCTCCAGTAACAGTGGCTCCAACCGGTTCTGTGTGCTCCTTCTTTCATTTGGTTTCAAAATGTGATCATAATGTCACTTAAAAATGACTTAAGTGCTGATGAAAAACTATAATCATCGAGAGATTCATGATACAATAAGGCTTGAAAGGAATATTTCTCTATGAGAACATTTTAATTCTGAGGAATCTGACATTTTGTGACAGAAGGTCCCCCAAATGGTGCAGATGTTATGCTTTTAGATATTCATACAGACGCATCAATTATTCTTCCTAGCGGCTATGAAGTCTACTGTTACTGGAGGTTCTTGTAGACTTTACATAGATGTCATAAGCAGATCTGCCTTTCTGATAATCACACAGCAGTTTAAGATTATATTTTTACCCTGCATTCACTTTGCAAATAACCTATATGATTGGAAATCTGATAAATCAGAAATAATTCGGCCTCAAAGTCCAGCTGCAGACTTGATGCTTCTCGTAAGGTTTGCAGATCCAATCTAAATGACTGCAAAGTTTGAATACTTTTTTTCTCAAACCCTTTTTAGCTAGAAGCTTCAGCTTGGCTTGTGTTTGTGAACATGAGGTCTGTTTTTTTGGCTGACGATAGGTCTTTTCCTTTGGATAAAGCATTGATGAAGGCATACACAATCTGGCCCAGTTTCTTGATGAAGATTTTAGATAAGTCATTTTATTGGATCATTTCATTTTGAAAAGTATTGATTTGGTAAAGTCAAGAGTTTATTTTTTTTTTAGCCGGGCTTAACCATCAGCCAAGAAATCAGACCGAAACAATGCTGTTTTTTTTGTCTGCTGTTGCTGTGTGTAATGATGCAAATCATCAGTGTGATTTCTCCCGTCTGACCACGGGACAGACTGCAGCCAAAGTCCTCGAGGGCTCCCACCAGCAGCACGGCTTCCTGTCCATCACGTACACCCAGGCCGTCACTAAAAACGTCCGTCATAAACTCACCACTCGGCCCGAGCGCGCGGCGCGCGGCAGCACTGCTTCCACGGATCCTCTGGCCGACAGCTCGCCGCAGTACCTGAGGGAGATCCTGCTGACAGCACAGCCCTTTGACGTGGTGCTATCCTGCCCCTTGCTGGCTACTGTAGCCGGGGTATTCCAGGTAGGGAAACAGTAGCTGTCCCTGCAGCATCTCAAGGTCTCTCAACCACGATTGACTTATACGTGTTTCATACGTGTGAAATAATGTTGAAATATTGCTTTGAAAAAGAAATGTCCTGATTAAGATGGCATGAATTTATTATTCCCATTGTTTGACTTGATGTCCTCGCAGGCCACAGTACCACGGCGTTACAGGGAGCGCGGGAAGTCAGTCGGTCAGCCCATGAGAAGCCACACTCTGACCTCCCGCTGTTTGCCTCTCATGTACATCAACACCAGCGTGATCCGGGTCTTTTGCCCCGGATCACGGGACACACAAGCGGCGTCAGGTTAGAGAAGATTTTTAGAACCCTCACTTGTGTTTCTTCCATGTGGAAAACAGACAATGGGACTGTGTTATGTCACAGGCTGTGGTTTTGATTGCTCTGGTTTGAAAGTCCGTGTCATGGCCGACCAGACATAGCACAGCCACCACGCAGACATTTGCTATGAGAAATGGTTGAGGTTCTGAAGAGCCGACCACACTTATATACACTCCGACAAAATACAAATCCTTGTCGTCTATAGAAATGACTAAGAGCGGGAAGGCAGGGTTCTGTGTGTGTCTTCATGACCCACATTATTCAGGTGTTTTTGTGTATCCGTGGGTGTCCACATTTGTTTAAGCATTTTTAAGTTAGTATAAATGTACTTTATAGATATACTTTTGTGCACTTTATTGTGAGTTGTTATCTAATATTCTGCCCGACACGGAGAGGACCAAATAATTGAACAATATAATGGTCCAGTACAACAATACTCCAAACTTAAACCTCAATAATAGATAATAACATGAAAGACTACACTCAGCAAAAACATAAACTTCCTCGAGATAGAATTGATGGCAGAACTGTTGCTTTAAATAGCAATGGATTGTACAGGTGTACCTAATAACGTCCTCCTGTATTTGATTCTGTGTGTCCCGCTAGATCCCCAGTTGAAAAGAGAGGACACCCTGGTCCTAAAGCTGGGCTCCCTCAGCATGGCTCCTCAGGCTGATAACCCTCTGACGCGCACAGTGCTGAGAAAGGACATCTACCAGTAAGACAAACTGTCTTCTCACTATAAGCGCTAATCTGCAATAAATGGATGATCAATTTTATCAACAGGAAATGAAAATTAAAGTTAGCAACGGCTTTTATTTAGGTGAATTGCTGGAGCTGTTAAAGTAATCTCTTTTGTGAGCGAGAACTATAAGGAGTATAAAAAATGTTATCGTCAGTCACATACAACCAATTTTATTATTGTATTTCTCTTCTGTTAGCACATCCCGTATGGTCGTCTGCAGTTTAGGTGCTTGCTGTGGACTATTGAACTCTTTTCATCCATTTTCCAGGACTAATCTGAAAAACTTGGCCAGGATAATTTTAGTATATTATTTCATTTATTTTTTTACCTTGAAGAAAAGGGGTAAATAAAGTCTACCTTAAGATCTAAATAGGTATAAAAGCTTTCTCAAATTTATAGCACATATATTTAACATATGGGTATGAATGAAGATGTAATGCTGACATCCACAGCAACAAAAATCACCAAAACTTTTCCTCATAAACACACTTAAAATATGGACTACCTGATGTTTTTTAAACCGGCCTCCCATGGCTTCCGTGGCTTCAAGAGAATGTTATAAGGTATTAAACACACAGTCTACTTCACAGCCCCCCCCCCCTTTCACGTTTGAACTTTTGGGTTTCCGACACCTCTTTTGGTATTACGTTATTATTACATCTCATCGCGCTCACGCGGTTTCTGACATTGTTCCCTGAAAATGAAATACTCGGCTGGTAGAATAAGACCACCACAACACTTGCTATTTGACCACAGTCCATTGAAGGTGCCATTCAAATTTGTCTTGACCTCAACTCACACTCAATAAAAGCTGTGAGGCAAGTGTGTTATGGTGTCAGGGGGGCAGTACTATGGCTGGTTTGAGTCCAAAGCGAGTGACAGCGCCACGTAGCGGTCAAGCTGCCACAGCAGTGACAGGGAGCAGTGAGTGACACCTTGGGGGGCAGCCGGGCCCTCCAGCCAAAACACAAGGCTGTTGACACAAGCCTCCCGACCCCTCCTGCTCCACCACCATGCCATGTGGATCAAAGCAACTAGGCAGGGAAAATCTGGACTTCTGAAGAAAATAGCTGCACAAAACACATTTTCCTTCCTCTAGGCAGCTATAAGAATCTGGATTGTGTCATAGCTGACTCTGAAACCACAGCTTGTGTGTGTGTGTGTGTGTGTGTGTGTGTGTGTGTGTGTGTGTGTGTGTGTGTGTCTCAGACAGAGCGTGTGTGTAATCGGGCAGATACAGAGCTGGCAAACACATGTAATGGGGGAGATAAAAGTGCTGCCAAATGCTTTGTGCAGCTGCAAGTGAGATGTGAGCTGACATAAGACGTGAAGTGGTGGAACAGAAAAAAAAGGTCAACAAAAGGAGGCCTTTTGGTCGGCGGAAGTGTCACTTGGAGAGAGATTACATGCAGGGAGGCATGCCTGACCATCTGTAACCATCGATGGACAGGACTACACACTCTGTAATCCAAATGTCTTCCAGAACAGCCAAACTATCTCCTTCCCAGTCATTTGCTGGTTTGATCTATGGGAGCAGATATTGTATTGATCAGTAACCATAGCAACTGTTTTGCTGGGACTTTTGGAGGGTGTTTTTTCCCCCACTGTGCTCAAATGTTTGTGCTTAGTTTTGTTGCATGTTAGCACAGCTAATAGGTAGTAACTACTCTTTTTTCCACGGCAACAGTTCCCTAGATTTATTTTGTTGATGCGCCTGCCGTGTTGTTATCATGTCAGATGATAAATGAGCATCTTGTGGGCATGGAAAGAGTTTTTCCGCTCCAAAAACCCAGTGTGACCAGCCTTGCAATTCTACCCCCATATTGGCCAGTGGTGGTTCGCCTGTGGTAGTTAGAGGGCCGGCAGCACTTGTGGCCGTGGTCCCCACATCTTCTCAGAGGCATGGATGGACTCGCACAAGGCTCCCCCCCCCGGTCTGGACACCAACCCGCCACCGAGAACCCTCCCCCCCGCACGCACACAGTCGGGCAAACATCCATTCACACCCAGATGTGCAAGGCGTGCAGCCGCATCCCTGTACCTATGCACACGTGTCACAAACACGTGTACAAACGCATTGGCTTAACCTCCACACACACAAGCTCAGAGCCACCACTTCCCTGTCTGCAGCGGAACCCGGGAATTATGTCTGACCACTCTGCGTGTTCATTCTTTCACATCCAACTGGGGCATTATCCTCGCCACCTTCCCCCCGTTCATATCTGCCTTCCAGTTCAGTCACATGGTTGATAACCTCTGAGAGTGGCACACTTCATCGATGCCGAGAGATCCTCTGCGTGTGCTCCCTCAAGTCGTGTGGAGAAAGTCTGAGTGGGAGTCTGTAATCATGCAAACCATTGTGTGTTTACAATCTGGAACCAGCCGTGGCCACGGGGAGAAATATGTCTGTGAGCGCCGGTAGCCATTTGCTGCAGTTCTGTTTAAAGCTCGCCACTAATTACATCCGTTGTCATAATTGAATGACTGATCCGGGCAGCTGCGCTGTTATTGTCTACCGTACATGAAATGATCGCCTCGCGGCGGCTAAAGGCAGGCTTAACTGTAATGCCACCCTGCGAGAGAAGACGAAGAGTGAAGGCCAAAATAGCCCGTGTGTAAACACCTTGACGGAGCGCTTCTCGGCGCTGCTCAAACTAACACCAGTCTCTGACTCACTTCAAAGCTCCCCGGCTTCCCCTCCAGCCTCCACGCGTTCAGGGCACGGTGAGTATTTATCATTTATCCCGGATGGATTCCCTCAAAGAAGGTCAAATAAACCTATGTGGCCGTAAAGCCGCTCAAGCTGAGCTTTTATCCACCGCCGGGTACATTTGGTATCAATTAACACAGCCTCATTTGATCATGTGATGTTGAATCTTGTTCCCCTGAAGGAGGCCGATCCCCCACACCCCCATTCCCCCCAAGCGGCTTCTCCCCCAAGCAGGAATTATGACACTGAGCTTTAGGCTGTTCACCTCCTTCTCCCTCTCCGTCTTCGGCTACAAGGCCGCTGTCAATTTACACAGCTGAAATCATTTTCCTTCCTCAAAAAAAAGCAGGCTGCTTCCCAATACGTGAGCGCCGGCCCGGATCAGGGAATGTCCAGCATGCATTTGGCCCCTGGCTTTTTTGTGGTGTGGACCCTTTACTAAAAATCTCCCAATATTAAATGCAACAAAATCTTCAAAATCCCAACAAATTCTTCATACTTTATATATATTGATTTCTTTTAAATGGCATTATTGGAATCTTAGTTATTGATCGTGACAACACAACTCAGTGGATACAGGCGCTTGATTGGAACGGGCTGCAGTTTTAATCTGTTAAGAAGATGAGTTATGATGTAAAAACAAAGGAGAAATGTATCTCAGTTGAATCATTACTTTCCAACGCTTCATGTTGAAATTATGGTGATGAGTTTTGCCCCTCCCTATTTACTATTCTTGCATCCATGTGCTTGCACATGTTTCTGTGTGTTTGCGTCTTAAAATATCGGTCACAGTTTCCCATCATCTCCACACATCGGTGACACAGCTCAAGATTCCGTCACATGTTTAGTTAGCTCATGGCTCGTCCCAGGGAGTCTCTCGGGGGGGAGCATCCCGCCGCCGCAAAATATGTTGTTGTTTTTTTGTTTGGATTAGCATGCATGCCTTTGTTTCCACGGTAACAGCAGACACAGCCACTGCGTCAGCGACGATGCTGGGACAAGTTGAGGCAATGTGGCTGCATCCGCAGGCTCCTCCTATGTCTTTTTCTCAAATCATTTTTGATTGTCCAGTCCCTCATTTTCTCCCCTTTCTTTTCTCATCCCATGTTTGTTTCTGGAGTTCATAACTCCACCTAATTTGCATTTACATGTTTTACTTTACCTTTTCTCGTCACTTTCTCCATCATTTCTCAGCACAACTTCCTTTGTTCATCGCTTCTTTCTGCCTTCCTTCCCTCCGCCAACTTGTTTTTTTACGTGAGTGTCTTGTCTTTTTGTTATTTCCTTTTCTCCTCTACATCATTTTCCCCTTTCTTTTTGGCTGCAGAGTTTACATATGTCATAATAGCTCTTTTTCACACTTCCGTCCATTGCTTCCCCCTCTTCCTCATATTCTGCTGTCCTTTTTACCTCCCATGTTTTTAGTTAGTTTTGGGTTTTTTCTCTGTTTTATTTCCTCCATGGCTATTTGTTATTTCCTCTCTGCTCTCTCGCACTCGTGTCGGTTAGACTGGTCTCAGTCCCAGCATGCTGTGGTCAGTAAGCAAGCCCCATTTTGCTGTTGAATGGCTGCCTGGCTAAGCCCACATATATGTCCTAATAAGTGGTTGTGATGGGGATCTCCCCTCCGCAGATAAACACAGCCAACTGAAGCCAGGACCCTGCCTGTTACCAATAAAACTCCCTGGCACTCCGTTATATGCATCCTTCTCCTCCTCTAGTAAGATCTTAGTCATGTGAGGGGATACCAGCCTGGGAGGGGCGGGGGCACGACTCTCTCCTAATGCGCTTTAAGGGATTGACCTGGTCAGAAATGTTTGGGGGGCAGTCTTGTTTCAACTTACCTTCAACAGTCAGTCAGATCCGTATTTTGACCGTATTCATGTCCAGGATTAAACGTTGGTTTTATTTTGTTCTCAGAGAGACATTAACTTCCTAATTATAGTTTGCATTTCAACATTTTGGATACTCTGCTCTGTCAGCTCTTGGCATATTCTAAAACCAACAAGTTAATAGTAGAGCAACATAGTCCTTCATTCAAAGAATTGGCAGTTAGATTTTTTCTGCAGGACACTTAACCTCAGATTGCTATACGTTGCTGTTTAAATGGTTAGTGTGCGTCCTGATGGGCAGGTGGTACCTTGCATGGTAGCCCCCTGCAATCAGTATATGTACACAGCATGTGTAAGTGCTTTGAATACAAATAAAGTCCATCTAGTATTTAAACTCTGTTAATAGTTTGACATGTATCTATAAACGTAGC